TGAAGGCGATTTCCAGCGTGCGCAGGCGATTTCCGGCGTCAACAACCCTAACCCTAACCCTAACCCTAACCCTAACCACCGCCATCGATGACGTGAGGATCTCAAACTAGAGCTCATTGTCGCGATCTCAAACCAGAGCTCACTGTCCCATCGCGATCTCAAACCAGACCTCACCGTCACGATCGATCCACACTGTCGCAATCTGAAACCAAAGTTCACCGTCGTGTCACGATCTCAAAGCAGAGCTCTCTCTCTCACTCTCACTCTCACGAACTAAAGGCAGTGGCTAGGGCACGATTTGCTCCGTCACCGCCTTCCGTCACCACAACCATCGACGTCGTGATTGCGATCTGAAAACCTAACCACGATCACCATCATCGCCTCATCTTTCTCTTCGCGATCTGATCGCCGCCGTCGCCATCACGATCTGCGATATGAAACCCTAGCCACCGGCGGCGGTAGCTAGGGTTTGCAATGGAAAAAAGTTTTAAAAAAATGAAATTAATAAAAATTAAAATTGAAATGAAAAAAATTAATAAGAATAGAATCACAATTTTTTTTAAAATTAAAATTGAAGAAAAAAAATGAAATAACTTATATTAAATGAAATAAAAAAATGAATATTATAACTTCTATTAAATTAATAAATTATTAGTTGTAATGGAAAAAATTTAATAAAAACATAAACATAATTTTAAAAAAAATTAAAATTGAAGAAAAAAATGAAATAACTTATATTAAATGAAACTAATAAATTTAATTGATGCTTATTAATGAAATAATTTTTTAATGAAACTATTAATTTTAATTGATGCTTATTAATGAAACTATTAATAATTTTAATGGAACTATTAATATTAATTGATGCTTATTAATGAAATAATTTTTTACAGCTTATGAAATAATTTTAATTGATGCTTATTAAACTAATTAAACTATTAATTTTTTACAGCTTATTAAACTATTAATTGATGCTTATTAAACTAATAATTTTTTACATTAATAATTTTTTACAGCTTATTAAACTATTAATGAAAAAAATTAATAATTTTACTATTAATTAATGCTTGTTAAACTATTAATTGCCACTAATTACATTAACTACTAATTTAAAATTATATTTTATTAATGAAATAATTTAAAATGAAATGATAATTTTTTTAATACCAATTACATTAACTTTTATTAATGAAATAATTTTTTTAAAATTAAAACTAAAAAAATGACAAAATAATCATTTTTATATCATGTAATGGCAAAAAGGACAATTACACAGTAAAAAGCTATTTTACAGTTTATCAACCAAATACTACTTTGCTGCTTAAATCCATAATTCCATAGTTGCACCAAACAGGTTAACAGCTTATGTTTACAGCTATAAGCCATAATCCGTTAAGGTATAATCTATAATCACTTTCCCATAGCTCTACCAAACGGGGTCTAAGGTATGATATCATTCTATTTTCTTAAAAAAATTATTCAAATTTTTCTACATAAATGAAAGGGAAATTATTGATAAATCCTATTTAGAAATGTTTTAACCCAAAAAGTTCATGAAGGAATTTTTTAACTCATTTAATCCCATGTATGTATAGTTTTATTCCATAAAATCCTTTTTCTTGATTTACACTATTTTCTTGGACACTTATACCCTTATATTTAATTTTGATACCCTTATAAATATTTTTTGAACGGTTAGCAATTTTATGATGTGAACATTTATATTTTAAAATTCACATTGGTAGGAATGTAAAATTGGCCCGTGGGCGGCCCGAAACCTGTCTGCGAGTCGGGACGGGCCCGGTCCGTTGACAATGTGAATATTCACATTGACATGCTAACATTCACATTAATAGAAGTGTAAAATTGGCCCGCGTCCCATGGCGGCGCGAAACCCGCTCGCGGTCCATGAGCGGCTCGGTCCGGGCCCGGTCCGGGCCGTTGACAATGTGAATATTCACGTTGACATGTTAACATTCACATTGATAGTATAAAATTGGTCCGCGGCCCATGGGCGGCCAAAAGCCCGCCCGCGGCCCGGGGCAAGCCCGGCCCGACCTGTTGACAATGTGAATATTCACATTGACATGTTAATATTCACATTGATAAGAGTACAAAATTGGCCAGCGTCCCGTGGGCAGCCAAAAGCCCGCCCGCGGCCCGTTGACAATGTGAATATTCACATTGACATTTAGCATTCACATTGATAAGAGTGTAAAATTAACCCGCGCCCCGTGGCTGCCCGAAACCCTTCCACGGCCCGTAGCGGCTCGGGGCCGGCTTGACCCGTTGACAATGTGAATATTCACATTGATAAGAGTACAAAATTGGCCCGCGCCCCGTGGCTGCCCAAAACCTGTCCACGGCCCGTAGGCAGCCCGGGGTAGGCCCGACCCGGCCTGCTGACAATGTGAATATTCACATTAACATGTTAATATTCACATTGATAAGAGTATAAAATTGGCCCGTGCCTTGTGGTTGCCCGAAACCCGCCCACAGCCTGTGGGCGGCCCGGCCTGTTGACAATGTGAATATTCACATTGGCATATTAACATTCACATTGATAAGAGTATAAAATTGGTCCGCGGCCCATGGGCCGCCAAAAGCCCGCCTGCAGCCCGGGGCGGGCCCAGCCCGGCCCATTGACAATGTGAATATTCACATTGATACGTTAACATTCACATTGATAAGAGTGTAAAATTGGCCTGCAGTGGGCGGCCCGAAGCCCGACTGCAGCCCGAGGTAGGCTTGGCCCGAACCGTGACAATGTGAATATTCACATTGACATATTAACATTAACATTGATAGGAGTGTAAAATTTGCCCGTTGGTCGAAGCTCGCTCGCGGCCCGAGAAAGGCCCGGCCAGGCCCGTTGACAATGTGAATATTCACATTAACGTGTTAACTTGTACATTGATAGGAATGTAGAATTGGCCCGTCGCCCGTGAACTACTCGAAGCCCATCCACGGCCCGGAGCAGGCTCGTTTGGGTCCGGGTCCGAGTATGTCCGAGACCCTAGGCTAGGGCCAGGCCATCACTTTGAAGCCTGGCCCGGCCCATCGGCCCGCTTAAGGCCCATTCAAGGCTCGGTCCGAGACCCAGCCCGCCCGAGGCACAATGTCTTTTTTTATGGAAAATAATAAAATTTTGGTAGAAAAAATTAAAAAGAATTAAAAAAAAATGGCCAGGCCCGCCCAAGCTCGGCCTAAGCTCGAGCCTAGGCCTAGGCCCACCGGCCCGACCCAAGGCTGTCGTCTTCGGGCCGCAGGCCAATTTTACACTCCTATCAATGTAAATGTTAATATGTCAATGTGAATATTCACATTGTCATGGGCCGAACTGGGCTCGTCCCGGGCCGCGGGCTAATTTTACACTTCTATCAATGCGAATGTTAACATGTCAATGTAAATATTCACATTATCAATGGGCCGGGCCCGCCCCGGCAACGGGCGGGCTTCGGGCCGCCCACAGGCCGCGGGCCAATTTTACAGTCCTATCAATGTGAATGTTAATATGTCAATGTGAATATTCACATTGTCATGGGCCGAACTGGGCTCGTCCCGGGCCGCGGGCTAATTTTACACTTCTATCAATGTGAATGTTAACATGTCAATGTGAATATTCACATTGTACATGAGCCGGGCCCCTACACATTGACGATATGAACATTCACATTAGGGGTATTTTGGTAATTATGTCACCCATAGGACTTATTGAAACATAAGAAAATAATATGAATTAAATAGAACATAAGTAAATGAAAATGATATTTTGATCTTCTTATCTCAAATAGAACCTAATGGAATAGTCAAAAAGAATATAGATTGGATGGAACATAAGTAATAAAAGATGAATTTATGGAAAAAGCTCCCTAAATGAAAATATACTAATGACTAATGTTATATTTTTTACCATGCAAGATATTTGTGACACATGAAAAGAGACTCAATAATTCTTGATGTATAAAAATATATTGCATATTGATATTAATGTATTCTGACACCAATAATATGTAATAGTAGGTTCAATAAATTTATACTATGAGATAAACTTTTAAACAAAATTATATAATTGTTCAAATAATTAAACTACTAATCTATCTTTAAATAGGCACTTAACCCATTAAAGTAATTATATTTTATGATTTTAAAATTTGTAAAATAGTTATATTAAATAATATCTCAACCATATAATTGGATTTGTGATTTTTCAAAGAAAATTACCCATTAGTTGTACTATAAAAAAATTAATATATTCATAAAAAAATTTATAATTTTAATTATTAATATTTATAAAATTTATTATTTATTTGTAATTTTTTAAAAAAACTTATATTAAATTAAAATTTATTCATTTTTTAACTTTAGAAAAAATTAGTGAAACATTTATTTCTAAATTTTATATAGTAAGAGAGATTTAATATATTTTTTGTATTAGTTAAGTTGCTTAGATAAAATTTATTTGTGTCCTTATTAGAGGAATTTTAAAATTATTATATGTCAGAGTAAAACTTTTCTATATCAAATTTTAAAACAAATTTGAGAATAAAGTATAAATTGGGCTGAGACTGAGAATATATTTTATTTAATTTTGGTAATATAAACCCGACTTAAATTAAATTTAGAATATATCTTGTTTGAGAATAAGTTAATTTAGTAATTTTTTTGGTTATATGATTAAAATATGAATTAAAAAAAAATTAATATATTTAGGATAATTTTTTAATTTTTTATAAAAGTATGTAAAAAAATAAAGAGAAATTTTTTTTTTAACTTTTTAATATAAATTATTGATTTTTTAACTAATTTAATAATTTTTTGATTTTTTAACCAAAAAGAAGTGTTCCAAACGAGGCCTAGTAATTTGTTTAGTAATTTGTTTAGGTAGGTAGCAAAAGGTCAAATCTCCATTGAGAGAGAGAGAGAGAGAGGCATCTGATCAAATATTACACAATCAGTGGAAACAGTGACTCTGTATATATTCACAACCATGGGCCGGTTCTGGTCGTCACCACCACCACCACCGCCGCCGCCGCCGCCTCCGCGCCGTCGCGGCCGCCAGTGGGAGGCGATCGACGGGAACAGTCGCAGAGGGAAGGACTCGAAGGAAAGAGGGATAGTGAAACCCTCGGTCCCCCGAGGGCTAGTCTCAAGCGCCTCGACGACGAGAGAGAGAGCGAGAATCTCAGACAAGTGGAAAAGGTCTTCTTTCACTTTTAATATTGAATGCAAATGCGTATTGCTTGAATATAATATTGTTCACATATATGCATATCTTCAAAAGTGTGCTCCAACAATTTCATCAAATTTATTATATTTTTACTTAAATTTGACAAATTTATTAAAAAGTAACGATTCTAATTGATTTTTTTGCCTCATAAAATAATGATTAAGGTAAGTTTTAAAGGACAAATTTGGAATTTTAAAAGAGTTTACATATCAAATCAAGTTTTTAACTAAATTTTCATTTAAATTTGATGAAAAAGAGAGAGTAACAAAATTTTCTTTTAAATTTGATGAAAAAGAGAGAGTAAGGATTGGAAATGGTCTAATTATATCTTGTTCGATTTCATTTGGGAACTTTGTTTGATCTTTAACAGGAACAATCGCAGAGGGAAGAACTAGAGCGAAAGACGGATGGGGAGCTCGAGATGGCAATTACCAGGCAGAAACGCAGTGTCGAAACCCTAGGTCCCCGATTGGCCGACGGCGGTGTGAAGCTGAGGGCTAATCTCAAGCGTCTCGAAGAGGAGAGAGAGCGCCGGAAAGTCCGCCGGGTGGAAAAGGTTACGCTTCTTTCATTTTTCATTTGAATGGAAATGTGAATTGCATGAATGTTATAGTTGGTACATAATAATTATATATTATTCAATTTCATGTTAGTCTATTGTAATTATTGGAATTGCAAAACTTCTGTCATTTTACCTATTTTTATGGCTCATCTCCAGTCCTGGTTTATTGATGCTGGATGCTTCAGAATTGTTTCACTTTTCCTCTATTTTGTAAATGTTTGCTCTAATTGTGGCACCACAGATTATAGAGTTGCTTACCAATTTATTATATTTATTTATTTTGGAGGTTTGAACTCCTATAAATTTGGGAGTGTATATGCAAGCTATTCTTGATATCTTAGTGACATGCATTTTATGTTTCGATCTAAGTTTGTCATGATTAATATTGGACAGGTTGATGATGGATGTCAAAAGCACATACAATCCAAAAACTCATCTTTTACCAGTGAGTATCTGAATGCTTTTCTGTTAACATTTGAATACATTCTTTTATTTTAATCCTTGCTTTACCTTTTTTATTGTTGGTAACCCCCTTTCTGTGGAGGCTTTTCATGTCTAAATATTAGGTGATTTTTTTTTTTTTTGATTAAGAAAATGGATATGTAGATAGGCTACTCCACATGTACGCCAGAGAGTAGAGAACTCCACTACACCTACGTTGGGGCTGAAGCTAAGGCCCCTGCGTGCTCTGGACACTAAGAAGTATGTTTAACCCCAACAAGGGGCTATGGAGACTCGATCCCGGGCTTTGAGCGAGGAATTCGAAGGTCTTTACTTTACCACTGAATCAACTCCCTGTTGGTCTAAATATTAGGTGATTGCTGTTGTGGACCCGAGTCTTGATTGAATACTTAGATTTGGACAATATACCTGTTAAATAAGAGGTAGATTTTGGTCAATTAATGCTCTTTATGAAGCATGGACACAAATATGGGACATAGATACAACATAGTAATATTGTATGGATATGCCAACAAAGACATATTTTTATAAGTATACTTATACATAAAAATAGTAACTACTTCTTCATTATTTTTGGTAAGTAACTATTTTTTTTTTTACATTCATAAATATTTTATAATATCAAAATATTAAGAAAATCTTATTCACATATTGGAAAAGGAGTGTGAACAAATACCCCTTAATTAAAAACATATGTAGATTTCTCAACTTCCTTCTGTGTCTCTTGCATAGACACACATCGCTACACTTCTCAACTTCCCATCACGTTTTCAGCTTGAGGAGTTCTTTTATTGTCATTTTGTATATTTGGTTAGCCGGGGGATTAGATCTAACCTGGACCTATTTTTGGACTTAGTTGATTATTTAGTTTTCTAAGGTGCTTATAGTTTTGTTGGGTCCTTTGTGACTTGAGCATTAGTTTTGTTTGATGTTCATGAGTGGCATCCCCTCGATGTTTTTTGTCTAATACAATAGTTATTTACTTCTAAAAAAAATGTGTTTTGTAGGTGCATCAGGCGGCTTTAGGCAAGAGGTTCCATCACAGTCCTTATTCAGCACACATTTTTGCAGAAAGTTGGAAGAAAACGTATGGTGGACTACTGAACTTGAATATTTTTATTTTCCTGGTCTGGTGGGATCCTTTTGACAAAACAATGTAACTGTTTGAACACTTTTTTATTTATGTAGCAAACAGATAGTAGGACAGTTAATGCATTTGAAAAAGAACTATCATATATGGGTCGTTGTGACAGCCGGAAAATGAGACTTAATGGGAAGTCTTCACCAAGGGAAAGACGCAAGAGTGTATTATCTTCAAAGCAGTCATCCTTTCAATGCCCTACCAGCTTGTCTGTTGATGCTGGTAAACATGTATTATCAGATGGTGATCACAATGGCGGACGTTCTACTCATTCTGCTCATCTTGTTGAGGAAAAGTTGTCTGGCTCTTTCTCTATGAAGTATGGATTATTTCCCTCTCCGTAGTTATTTTTTAATTTTAATTTTGTGATTGGTTTGGTTTTGTCTCTACTAAAAAGTATGGATATTTTTCCAAATGTGTTGCCTCACCTCTAATCCTAATTTTAAAAATAAGTTATCTATGGACACTCATGTTATGCATGTTTATGTATATGTATAGTGAGCTATGTAATGCTGCATGTTTCCATGTGACAGCTTTCTGTAGTGCATAAATGTGAGGCATTAATTGAGGGGTGTTCAGCTTTTGAGTTTGTTATGGTGGCATTGCTCTAGCCATACTGAATATGAGTTTAGTGGTATGGCAAAGTTGAACCTATTTTAAAATGTTTTGCTGCATTTGAATTGGAATTTTTATTGTTATTTTTTTCTTGCATGAAGTCTTTAATTTTTTTTTTTTGTTGATAAATTGCACGAAGTGTTTAATTTGAATATTGAAAATATACTAGAAGGGCATTCTTGATAAGCTGAAAATGTTGCACTATAACTGAAATGGTAAAGGCTTCTATTGCATTGATTTGAATATGTGGAACTCTATTGGTCATGATAATGTTGGCCAAATTATTGCTGGCGAGTTTTTTGTCTCATGGGCTGCATGGAAGCCAAATCTTGTTGAAAAGCTTTGGTAACAAGTATATATGCAATTTTGGAAAGGATAAAAAGTGAAAGGGATTACATCCTACTGTTGTTTGCTTTTCCTTCCACAACTCTTTTAAAATCAAAATTTGTTCTCTCTTTGTTGTCCTCTCTGAATGTTTATTTCCATATTTTTCTTTGTCGATGTCTCTCTAGTATCAGTGCTTAACTTGAAGAAGTGCATATCATGATTTTGATTTTTTTTCACTTTCTTGCTAGGGAGAAGACTTCTAAAGTCATGCCTTTGAATGGTTTGAGGCCTAGGAATGTAAGTTCTTCCCATTTTCCTTCTTTATATGTTCTTTCTCTTTATGTTGTTATTCCTTACATTATTTTGACCCAGGTGAAACTCAGAATGTGCGCATCAAATGGCACTTTCATTTTTTTTTTTGAAATTTGCTTTGTCTTATTGGGAATCCTTTGGGACTGCCTTTGTTCTTAAATTCCATTGTTTCAAATGCTCTTTAATTGATGATTTTTCTATCCTTCTGTGCTCAGATTTCAAAGCAAAATTGCTTGGACAAATGCTCATGGCCTTGCGTGTTTATGTACATATTAATTATTACACAGCAAAAAAAGAAAAAATCACGACGAAGTTAAAAAGTACTCTTTGTTCGCTCATAAGTTTCTTTTTTGGACTACAAAATCTGAGAAAAGGAGATGTGAACGTTACTCTATCTTGAAAGTTAAATTGAAGAAATGAAAGGATATTCTCTTTCAATTTGTTAACAGCAGGAACTGAAATGTTTTAGAAGATTAGTTCATAAAATTATGAAGGTTTTAACTTTGATATTGGGTTCTACACAGCTTATGACTTTATTTTTTTTGCTTTGACGAATACAAACTGGGGTAGAAAGCTTATGAAATTTTGGTTTGTTTTCTCATGTTAATAGAAATGTAGTAAACTCTGAGCACAATTGAGGTAAGCTATGGGTAGACAAAGCAACCAACAATGTTATATACCTAATTATCAATTTAAAGTCGTGTTGAATACAATCAATGAAAAGGAAACAGAGAGAGGAGTATTTGATATGCAACCATGGAAGTTGTAATCCAGTCTCGTTGGCTGAAATTCATCCTGCTATGAAAATTGAACAAGAAACTCTTGTTTAAAGATCTCCTGATATATATATTTTTCCTAATTTTGTTTGTGGTACCATACTATTTTTCTACTAATAGGATCACAAATTTGATCTTTATTGAAAATCGCTTAAGTTCTCTATCCTCCAATTCAAGTGGATTCTATTGTATGATCAGTGCATGCGCTGAGGCAAAGTTGTAGAAACAGAGTTGGGGATACAAATTCTTAATATTTTTATTGCATAGTTTTCATATTTGGTGTAGACGACACCAATTTTTTGTGAATCCTCTTTTGCTCTTAAGGTTTTATAGGAGAGCTCAATTTTGGGTTAAACTTGGTGTAAAGGTTGTGCCTGTGGCTTCTTTTTTAATACATTACTTGACATATAAAAGAAAGTTGTTATTATTGGTGCCTTGGTGGTCTTATATTTTGTATTCCAGGAAAATACCTGTAGCATTCATATCGTGTAATTTGTTAATTCTACAACATCTTGTCTGATATGTCTGATTTGTTGTGTTATTAAACACTACTTCAGTTGCTGCTGTTTGTTCAAGTTAAATGGCATGTTTCATTGGGACATTTTGAGCTGTATAGGGAAATTTTCCACTGCTTAAGTTACAACTCTTCCTTTGAATTTGAGTAGTGTGTGCTGTTAGAAGATTTGAGTTGGTTGACCTCTTTTACCTTATGCAATATGTTCGTTTTTTTGGTTGTTCTCCTGAGAACTACACCTCTATAACTTTTATTTTGTTTCTATGTATAGGGTCTAGAGTTCATGGATCTAATATGTGCCAATTATAATTGAACAGGGACAACCAATTGTTCTAGTGGATGAGGAGGAACCTCAGTTCATAGAGTCGATGGAGCAAGCAGATAAAACAGTTGAATGGTAAATAGATCATTCAACTAGGGTTTACTAATTATTTTTTCCCTTGATATCTCTGTTTGTGAGTATGTGGTTTGGAGGTCAGCAGTAATTTTGATCCACTGCTTCTTTTATTTCAGCATGAAAGAGAGTAAGATCTACTATCCTTCAAGGTATGCCATGTCCCAAAAGATAACATGGAGTACGAATTTCTATGAAGAGTTCTTTTATAAGATATAATATCTGTATTGATTGTAGCCTTTTTGTTTTTTTTGTTTTTTTTTGGGCACAGTGATGATCCAGAATCAATAGAAATTCATTACTCAGACATGGAATGCCTTGCTCCAGAAGCCTTTCTGTCATCAACTATTATGAATTTTTACATCCGGTAAGTTGCAGGGCTGTTTCATGCCTGTCATGTTTTAATAATATGTTAGTGTTAAAATTCACCTACTACACACCTACCACTACCACCTACTACACACTCACCTACTTCACCTACTCCACCACCTACTCCACCTACTCCACCCACTTCACCTACTACATCTCCTATATAAAGAGAAGATGGTAGTAGGTGTAGGTGGTAGTGGAGGTGGTAGGTGGAGTGGGTGGTAGTGGAGGTGGTAGGTGGAGTGGGTGGTAGTGGAGGTGGTAGGTGGAGTGGGTGGTAGTGGAGGTGGTAGGTGGAGTGGGTGGTAGTGGAGGTGGTAGGTGGAGTGGGTGGTAGTGGAGGTGGTAGGTGGAGTGGGTGGTAGTGGAGGTGGTAGTTTTACATGGTATCAGAGCTGGTTTAGAATCGAATAATTCTGCTTCACCGGCGGGCGGCAGCCTCGCCTTGGCCGCCCGCCGGACCTCTACACATACCTTCAGTTTCCTGCATCTTCCAACTCTCTTCCCTCTGACCCGCCGATCTTGATTCTTTCCTGGAGGAACTTTTCCAGTGATGCGATCTCCATGATCTTATCCTCCACCGGCTTCGCACAGTCGATCACGAATGTCGCTCCCTTCTTCTTCCCTTCGCTCCAGCTGCTGCTCCTCGACTCATCTTCGTGACTCATCTTCAGCCCGCCGATCGCCGCCTCAACCACTGACCCTCCACAAGATGTCCATTTGGTAGCCAGTCCAAGCAGTGGGAAGCTACGACTGCTACTTCAGATTGTTTATTTACCGAACCCCTTTCCAGAGTCCTCGAAACTTGTGATCTCTTCAGATCTCACAATTTTCGGATTCGTCTTCTTGAACCACGACGAATCCATTATCTTCGCGATGTTGATTCGAGTGTTCGGATTTGGATCCAACAGTTTCGTAATCAATCTCCTCGATTCAGGCGAAAACCATGGCGGACACTTGAAATCTCCCCTGTAGATCTTCCGATACATCGCAACAATATTATCATCCTGAAAAGGCACGAATCCAGCTAACAAAACATACAATATGACGCCGCAGGACCAAATGTCCGCCTTAGCCCCGTCGTAGCCCTGTTTTCCGATCACCTCCGGCGCAACATATGCCGGAGTTCCACACGTTGTGTGGAGGAGCCCGTCCTGCCGGAGATGATTCGTGAACGCGCTGAGTCCAAAATCGGTGACCTTCAGATTTCCATCACAAAAGTGATCTATCACTTCTACTTTCTCCTGTGCCATTTGCTTGTCCTGCTGGCCTCTGAACCCGAGGTGATAGTGAGATCACTTTTTCTTTTTTATTTTTTCCTCAATGGCTTCACACTCTCTCTCTCTCTCTCTCTCTCTCCACTTTATCAGTTTTGTCCCTCCCTTTTTCTCATCTATCACACATCCACGTTATTTCACACTTTTTTTTTATTTTAATATACATATATCTCTATATTTTTCGCAACATATGCCGGAGTTCCACACGTTGTGTGGAGGAGCCCGTCCTGCCGGAGATGATTCGTGAACGCGCTGAGTCCAAAATCGGTGACCTTCAGATTTCCATCACAAAAGTGATCTATCACTTCTACTTTCTCCTGTGCCATTTGCTTGTCCTGCTGGCCTCTGAACCCGAGGTGATAGTGAGATCACTTTTTCTTTTTTATTTTTTCCTCAATGGCTTCACACTCTCCTAATCTCACCCACTCATTTGTTTATTTTTATTTTATTTTATTTTTTCTTTTACTCACCCATGTGCCCCACGATGCTCAGATTCTCCAACCTATTTTTTTTTCTTTTCATTACACTCTTGTTCCCCACTTTCTTTCTTTTACATATATATATATATATATATATATCTCTTTTTATTATATTATATTAACAAAAAAAAAAAAACAAAAAAACAAAAAAAAAATCATCATCCCTACTCCGTTTGCTTTGAAACTCCCTTCTTTTTATTTATTTTCTCCAAACCACTTTCCTTATTTCCCCCATCTTTCATTTTTGATTTCAAATATACTTTTATTATTTTTTCTTTCTTTTTCTTTCACATTATTTTTCATCTTTTTCCAATTCCATTCATACCATATAGTTTTGCACGGCAAACCATATTTTCTTCATCTCAGGGATCAACCCCGATCACAATTTTACATACACACAAAAAAAAATAAATTAAAAAAAAAAAAAAAACAACAACAGCAGCTTTGTTTTCTTTTCTGCAGCCGGCCACCTACCGACCTCACTTCTTCGCCTATTCCGCCAGTCTTTTCTTCTTGCCTCTGTCCTGGGTGGCCCTTGCCGGTGTTGCCTCCGTGTTTCCCACACCACTGGGCACGATCACTACTCCCTGCTCCTCCACTGCAGCATATGGCGGACCTCCAAATCGGAACATCATGGTGGCCTTCCGCTTCAGCTCCTTATTTTCCGCCTTTAGCACACTTATCTCTGCTCGCGCATCCTTATACATGCGCTGGAGCAGAGCCAGTTGGGCGTTTAACTGCTGCACCTCATTTGTCCTACTCTGCAGCCGGTGCGACAAGTTTGTGACCGCAGTCATGGTCTCCACACATGACTTCAAAGTATACTGATTGGCTTCCACATCCGATTGCACTGCCATTTTTTGCTCCACTGACCGCATCGGAAAGTTCAACGGAGCAAACCCTGGGGCGCTTGGTTGAGGTTCAGGGGCCACCGCACCCGTTATCTCTCTTGTTGACTCGTCGAGGTCGGGAAAGAGAGTGAGCAGACCACGGGATGACGAAGCCATTTTCTGGGCAACAGAGTGTTACAGAGTCTCTCTCTCAGAAACGGAAGAGTTTTTCAGAGGATTTTTGCAGGTTTTTTGTCTCAGCCTCTGCCTCGGCCTCAGGCTCCGTCTTGGTTAAATAGCCGAGGCCGCCACGCGCATCGCGCGCCACTTGACACGCGTATCATGCGCCGCTCGGCGCTCACCGACAACTTGGCACGCCTTTTGATGGCACGCCTTTTTATGGATTGGGCACGCCTTTTGATGGCACGTCTTTTGACAGATTGGGCACACCTTTTGAGGGCGCGACTTTTGAGAGCTTGATGTATATATATATACATGTATATCTTTTGGACACAGCTTTATCAATCCCTTTGTTTCAACCTCAAATAGGTTTCTATCTTCACACCTATTTGAGTTTGAGGGGGGGTTATACACAGTATCATGTATAAGTCGCTTATGGCGCACTCCCTAAGTCGCCCCCTTGGTGCACCACCACAACCTGCTACATCGGTCCGACATGACCCCGTAAACTGTCCCGACATTGATTCCGGTCAGCTTCTACATCGGTCCGACATGACCCCGTAAACTGTCTTCTACATCGGTCTGACACGACCACAGTGTCTGCTACATCGGTCCGACACGACCACACAGTGTCTGCTACATCGGTCCGACATGACCCCGTAAACTGTCTTCTGCATCGGTCTGACACGACCACACAGTGTCTGCTACATCGGTCCGACATGACCCCGTAAACTGTCCCGACATTGATTCCGGTCCAAGCTTCTACAACGGTCCGACATGACCCCATAAACTGTCCTCTACACCGTTATGACACTAACCATACAGTGTCCTCTACAACGTTATGACACCCCATACAGTGTCCTCCTACAAGTTATGACACCGCCATACAGTGTCCTCTACAACGTTATGACACCACCATCCAGTGTCTTCACCAATGGTCTGACACGACCATACAGTGTCTCCTATCCTCTTTTATTTTTATGTATTTTTCTTGTTTTGTTACTCTCTCCAAACTCAAGTTGGTTAGTTCCTATCCCCCTTGAGTTTGCGGGGGGCTGTTAAAATTCACCTACTACACACCTACCACTACCACCTACTACACACTCACCTACTTCACCTACTCCGCCACCTACTACACCTACTCCACCCACTTCACCTACTACATCTCCTATATAAAGAGCACCTCACCATTTGTAATTTACAACATATCAATACATCAATCAATAATATACATCAATTTATTTTACAGTTAGTTACACTAGTGGGAAAAATTTCAGCATGAATTACTATTCAAGTTATTATTTTATCATAATTTCCTGCCTTTGGCTAGACATCTGCAGCGGCTAACTTCTCCAACAGATAGTGCAAGAAGTGGTTATCACTTTTTCAACACATACTTCTACAGCAAACTCAATGAGGCTGTATTCAGGAAGGTATCTCTTTCTCACTGAAGTTTTTCCAAAAACTATTCTTCATTCTCCTAGTTAAGATCTTGATTTCAATTTATGATTGTAATTATCAGGTTTTTTTTTTTTTTTTTTTTTTTTTTTTTTTTTTTTTTTTTTTTTTTGTGTGAATTTTCTGAAGCTAGTAAATGTAGGTACTTGAGTTGTAAATTTGGTGTGCAATATTTCCTGATGGAAAAAAAGAAAGAGAAGCGTATAGAGACATTGTTTTGCTTGAAACATTTTTCTTTCTTTCTTTTTATTTTTTGGGTGAAGCTTTGGCTCTTCACGCATTACGATGCAAATTTTTTCCAGGGATTACACTTTTCCTGGGAGTACATATAGTCAGGTGTAACGAGACTCTTGTTTTTTTTTGTTTTTTGTTTTTTCCCACCCAGAAACTTAGTGGAAAGGCAATATAATTTGAATCTTCATGGTTAAGTATCCATCAAACTAAAATGGTGCTTTAACATTAATATTTTTTTTTATCTGGATGCTAATCCTTGTGTTGCACATTACATCTTGTGTTAATAACTTGTCTATCCTGATGATTTGTGGCAGAGTGACGGGGAAAGTTCATTTGTCAAGTTCAGGAGGTGGTGGAAAGGCGTCAATATATTTCATAAAGCATATATACTTCTTCCAATACATGAAAAGTAAGTTGTTTGAGTTAATGTTGACGTCTGTATGAATGTGACATTGGTATTCTTAAAGTTAATGTAAGTTGTTTGAGTGAATGTTGGAGTCTGATTCCTTCATATATGAATAGAAACTTAGAAAAAGAATGATTATCATTTATTAATGCTTACTGGTTGAAAATGATGCTTCTTTGTTATTTCATGAAAGAAGTTGATATTACACACCACACTTCTTATTGTGCATCAGTTCTCTGTTTCAATCTCTTTTCTCTAATTGCTTTAGTTCCTGCAAATTTCTGTACTATTTTTTGGTGCTTCATTTTTTTAATTAATTTATATTTTTTTTAATGCAGCCTTCATTGGAGTTTGGTTATTATTTGCATCCCAGACAAGGAAGATGAATCAGGACCCGTCATACTTCATTTGGATTCTCTTGGACTTCACTTTAGTAAATCAATATTTGATAACATTAAAAGGTGAGATACAGAAAGCCCTTGAAAGTAACAACATATGACTGTTCTTAGAAACTGTTGGCTGTCTCAATATGCAAGCCTTCTATCAATGATACAGAGTGAGCAGTTGGAGTCTAAAAATTGACCATTCTTGTGTTGTGGAAAGTAAACAACAACTTTACAAGATGAGAGATTACTTGAGAGGTGTCAGTTTTTCTTTAAAAAAAAAAAAAAACAGCAGGGGGATTTTATGGGCAATTGTGACAATTTTAATAACTGTAAGGGAATGGAGCATGAGGAGGGGAAAAAAAAAAAATTCTTCCTTTTTTCTTTTTCCATGTTTCTCTTCTCGCTTCTTTACCTTTGACAAGCACATCACTTGACACTCTTGATTAATTTATGTTTTATTTATCAATTCTACGATGTTGTGTGTCAGTATTTTATTCTCATTCAATGCTTCTCGTTTTTATGAAATCAAATGAGAAGTTTGTTAGGCCGCAAAACTGTCAGAAACCTTTTTGTTGTGTAATTTTTCATTTAGTGCCCTTTTTAACTTGAAGCTTGTTTAAACTTACTTAAGAACTGTGTGATTTGTTCTCTGCAGCTTTTTGATAGAAGAGTGGAAGTATCTGAACCAAGGAGAGGCTCCTCCAGATCTTCCTATTGCATACAGAATATGGGAAAATCTCCCTCGCAGAATCGAGGAAAAAAGAATTGCGGTAAATCTCTTTCTTTATTGCCTGAAATTTGGTGTTACTTTATGCCTAATGCTTGTGCTTCTATTTAAGGGTAAATTATGCTAACCTCTCTTGACGTTTAAAAATATATTGAGCCCCACAAGTTTGGCATATTAACATTGGGCTCTCTTAAGATTTTAATTCATGTTAACACTTAGTTCCATTTTCATCAATAATTCGTTAGTTTTATGGATAGAAAAATGATTTTTTTTTTTTGGGTGATAAATGAATAAATATGGATAGAAAAATGATGTTGGCATCTCTCTTATACTGAAATATATATTTTACTTTTTTTTGTTTGTATCTACACCATCTGCATTAGTTCCAATTGTTTTAGCCTTAACTAAAAAGTAGTTTAGTGTAATTATCCCAAACTTGTGGGATTTATGGTATTGTTTCTAAACCTCAATGCAAGATACAAGAATGATGAATCAAATTCTTGAAGTAGACATGCACGAGCTCAAGTACAGTTCTTTTTGAGAACTTTAAGCTGTAAATAGAATAAGAAAATCTGCATCAGTTAGTTCAAAATTCATTTCTGGCGAGTTTCTGGTTCAAAGTTTTACCTTTTCTGTTTTTTTTCCATCACTCTCTGCCAGGTTCCGCAACAGAGAAATGACTATGACTGTGGTCCGTTTGTTCTTTTCTTTATGGAACGTTTCATTGACGAGGCTCCTCAAAGACTGAAAAAGCAAGATTTAGCAATGGTAGAGTATTTCATTCCTTCTTCTACTGAAATTTTATGTCGACTTCTTAATTGGTTTAGCTTCGTTCTTACACATTAGTGTTTTCTTTTGATTACCACGTTTCATTCTCAGTTTGGTAAGAATTGGTTCCAACCTCAAGAAGCATCCAAATTGAGACGGAAAATCAGGAAATTAATCGTGGAAGAATTCTTGAATGCGACCGAGGATAATTGTGTTTTGGATCACGAGCCTTTGCCTTTTGTGCATCGTCCTGATGGAGAAAGGATTGAGCTCTCTATAGATTGTTAATGTAGGCTCGTCTCATTGCTGTCACAGGCTCTCCAAAATTTGGTATTTGGTAATCCATTTTCTGTAAACTCTTACAGTTTCTGTGAACTAGCTCTGCAAGATGAATTAGCTCTGCAAGATGCTGATTTTTCTGGTTTGTGAAACACAGTTTAGATGTCATGTCAATAGTTAGTGATCATTCTCTGATGAGGTTTAGAAGCACGTTAAAAATGATTCATCAGTTGTATTAGAGGCAAACGAACGGTTGCCGATCTCAGGTGATAATTTTTTAGTCAAAAGTCTACCATTTTTGTTTCTTAGCTTGCTTCTTTCATGTTTGTTTTTTTGTTTTAAATCTTCTCCAAATTGTTCATTTGATTGTTCATTAAAAAAATTAGTTTAATCCGATAATCCTAACCTTTTTTATCTAAAAAAATAGATGATAAATATAATTTTAAAAATAGATTATTTATTTATTTTTAGAGACAAACATGATAAAAGAAAAATGTTACGATTATCGAATTGATTTAATTTTTTTGATGAATGAGATATGTTGAAGATCTTATAAAATGAACATAATGGGCTTCTTAAGTTCTCTCAAGTTGAGATGTGAATATGAATATTAGAGAATTAATTTACTTTTTTTAGTTTTTTAAGTGATGAGGAAAGTAAAGAATGTCAAAGCACCATGTTTTTTCATTCTTGAATAAGACAAAGCATTGTTAATAATCAGAGTTTTTGGAGCAAGAAAAAGGAAAAAAAAAATGGTGCCATCTTGTACACCCTCCACAATATGTTCTTAACAAGACACTCACCTAGAGCCATCAACAAATTGAGTGATAGGTTGTTGAAATTTAATTGAAAATTTAATAATTTTTGAAATTTGTTTGGACTTGTTCAACTAGTTCTCTAGTTAACTTTTAACAAGCTAAATCGAGTTGATTGAGTGATTTGGTTTTTTAGTCTTTAATTATTGGAAGGAAAATTATATAATAATCTTGGAAGTACAAAATAAGTTAAAAAAATTATTGTGTTAAAATATGTTCAAATTTAATTTATTTACATAATGAACATATTTCAAATGGATTTTTAATGTGGTAAACAACTTGAATAGAATGATTTATTTTACATCCCTTAATATTTAGAGTTATGTTAGGGATTTTAAATAATTTATCAATTTTTTTGTCAAATCTCTCACATGGTTGTAGGACCTACACACATGTGTGAGTTTGCATAGATCCTACATCCATGTGAGAGATTTGATAAAAAAAACAAATTTAATTTATTTACATAATGAACATATTTCAAATGGATTTTTAATGTGGTAAACAACTTGAATAGAATGATTTATTTTACATCCCTTAATATTTAGAGTTATGTTAGGGATTTTAAATAATTTATCAATTTTTTTGTCAAATCTCTCACATGATTGTAGGACCTACACACATGTGTGAGTTTGTATAGATCCTACATCCATGTGAGAGATTTGATAAAAAAAATTGATAAATTATTTGGGGTACATAATATTTTCCTAATATTTATAATTAAAAAAAAAAAAAAAACCAAGAGAGAGTGAGACAAGGAAAGATGACTACTTTGGTCAAAGACAAGCAAGAATTATAAACAAAATGTGTACATACAAAAAAGATACAATATTTTATAAATTTTATACATTAAACGGTTCGAATTATCGAGACGGATTCAAAATAGGCCTTAAATAGGCTGGATTTTACGGTCTAGTTGGGCTGCCCAACTAGAGACAAACTAGTACCTTGTTTTTTTGTCTGGGCTCTGATCAAATTTGACATACTTGAGAATTAACATTAAAAATAAATTTTTTATTTATTTTTGAATCTTTCAATAAAAAGCTTCCCATACTGTATATTCTTGAATTAACTTTAACCTAATCCATATGTTGCAAAAAGGAAAAATTCTATTTCTACACATCATTTAATCTCTATACATATTATATCTCAATTCACACATTTATAAATTTAATTATATGTTATTATTCTCATTTCACATACTAAATGTTTCAACTATAATCCTAACTCATAATATGCCCACACCACCTAAATAGAATTTTCCATGCACTATACCTTCAAACCCCTAAATCATTCACTATGCACAGTATTTCAAAACTCAAACCAAACAAACAACTAATTCATTTTGATTACCTAGTTCGATTCTTAATAAAAAAGGATAGCTGCTCGCCAGCTCCATTCTACCTTTAATGAGCCTCGTTCAATATCTTAAAAGATTGGAAAGCAAGTATTACAAGGAGGATTCAATAAAATTGTACCCATATATTATGATTCTGAAAAATAAACTAGAAGTTGTGATAAACATATGAACATCAAATGAATATTGGCAATCCAACACTTTCCAGCAAAACATGACTCCATTAAAAATCAACATTGAGCTTCACTGCATTCTTGAAGGTGAGGAATGTGTATCTCCATCTCATTTTGTAGTTATTAGAATAAATTTGCAAAAATAAGTAATAAATTTATCATTTTCGATAATAGTTCAATGTTGGTTGGTGATGAGATGAAAATAATCCATTCGATACTGACTTTTCAAATCAAATAGGTTTATTCAATTTTGTATTTCCAAAATTTTAGTATTCGTTTGATTCTATACTTCCTGAAAAAATTTCAATAGTTGAAAACTGAATTAATTTATATTTTTCGAAAGTTTATTTCCAAAATCATGAAACTATCTCAGCAGTTGATTTTAGAACATAAAGAAAATTTTTGACATTGGTTTGTTGAATGAGAATCGCGAACAACAAAAAAAAATAATCAAATTTTGCACATAAAACTCACCTTTTCACCGCCGCATTAATTGTAATGGAGGACAAATAGAGTGTGGTAATGGAATAAGTGAGAAACAAGGAAGGAACAACATAGATTTTAATTTTTTTGTTTTTCTAAAAGATATGTATTGAGAATTATTGTTTCCAAAAGATGTGTGTATAGAGAATACTTAACTTTAATATATAGTGCTAGTATTGATATCCATTATGGTCATTTTATTTTATGATAAAATTGTAATAAAAAATTATTTCATTAAGTGTGTGTACAAAGACTAAAAAGTGTGTGGAAATAGAATTTCTTTGTCAAAAGCTTTCAAATGCCACTATAATTTGGCATGTTAAAGTTGTTCTGGAACTTAAAACATCACGTACATAAGAGTACCAAACAGAAATCAAGCTGTACTTATCATAGTTTAGAGAGAGAAGTTCTTTACACATCTGCTTGTGGAATATGTACATTTTATCCATCGGAAAGCAAGATGAGGCAAACAATTGAAGTATTACCTTCGGTGTTTCTTTTTCTCAGGAGTTGCGTGCACTTGGATTTTCCTCCCATACGTCCTCGTCTGAAAATTCTCAAAGGCCAAGGAAACTGCTTCAACCTGTATGATATTTTATCAATACACATACATTAATTTTGCAAAACACATACAAGGGAGAGGAAACCAAATTCATGATTTACACAGCAGAACCGATGTTTCTTTCACTAACCAATTCAGGCTTTTTAGAGTACACCCTCACTATCATATCTTGATAATATGCAGGCAGCAAGTGACTGATGCAGTCGTCCTGTATGTGGAATTTCTCTTCGCTGTCATAGTCCTGGAAAAAGAAAAGCTGTTGAAGAATACACAGCAAAAACAACAAACCATCTTTGGGAAGAGAAATCAATTAGAATCGGGACGTACAACATTTCAATTCTCTGAAGTAATTAGATTAAACATTAATTTTCTAGGTAGAAATAATCTCCATTTTAGGAACTCATCTTGTTATTGAAGTTTTCAACCATCCCTATATCTAAGCATTTGCATTACTATAAATCAACTATCTTGATTTTCATTATATTTAATCCTGTTCTTGAGTCAGGTTCAAAAAACTAAAAAGTAATTCTATAATGATTTGGGAGAGAGAAAGTTGTAGTACCTTGAAGAAGTTGATCCTGGAAGAGGAAAATACATGCACACAGGAGTCAAAGATAAATGGAGTTAAAAATTGTAAATCTATCGAAGAGTGAGAACGAATAACTGATTCATCATAATTGTTAACCAACTCTTCCCACGTACCATTCAACAGGATTATTCCTTCCACGGGTCAAATCAATTTTGACGTTGCAGACAGCAACATCTTCTTCCTTCAGCGTAACACCAGTTTTCTGGTTTAAAAAATCACTTGTAAGAGATTTTCTATGTCTTTAGGAAAAGGCATACAAATTTACTCGGCTAAGATTTGAAGGACCTGGGAGCAAATGATATCTTGGGGAGTGACATTTTTGAAGTGCTCCAGCTGGTTCTTGGGAACAGCAAACTCGTTGCAGAACTGCAAGAGGATGATATATTACTAAAAGGTCACAACAATCCTTTCAAAAGTGCAATAAAAAAATGTTTGAATTTTCACCGTTTGAATTTTGTGTTTTCAGAATCAAAACAATGAGAAATTCGATAACAACTATTTGGTAGTTCCTAAAAAGTGAGTTTTTCAAAAAACATTCCGGAAAACTGTTTGCCAAACAAGTTTGTTATCCCTTCCATCATGTTATGAATTCAAGTACCTGGTACAGGTCCCTTCTCCGGATCCGTAGGATCAGATCTCTAGATTCCTTGAGCGCTGGGTCGGGATCAATTTCAATGGTTTTTATTATTGTGTCATCTAACTGCAGTTTTAAGTAAAGGGATTATATAAAACCCAAAGCCATATCATATTGAAGGTTTTTTTTCAAAAGATCATCCAACCTTCCAGTAAGCAGCTGGATCGTGAATGCTGGATGCAATTTGAAGATGATCATTTGCTTTTGTCAGGGCATCTACAAGCATGAGTTCTATTGCCTGGAAAATGAGCAAGTGTCAGATTCAATGCATTTAATCTTCACATAAATGTAAAGAAATGAAATTTCTGAACTACATAGTGTGCACTTATTGGTTTCCACAGAATAAGATTTAGGCGTATTTTATACCTTTACTTTGGCATGCATATATACTTGTCGATGAAGATCAGCACGAGAGGTGAATAAATGGTGGATCGTAAGACCTGACCATATCGTTGTTTGTATGTTAAATGAAATTAGTGAACAACATGATGACCATATTGACATAGTTGGATAACAGACATTGAACACGTACGTTCCTTAGCACGATAACATATTTCATCATCGATAACTCGCATATTTTCCAATAGCCTGCAAGTTACAACAATAAAACATGATATTGTAGATGATATTGTAAGTGGTCAAAAGTTTCATGAAGTTTCACATGTCAATAATGAAGTAACAAATCCAGTTACCGCACACGTAGATAACCATCCTTAAAATTTTGAATAACTTTAACCAAAGAGAGTAGCTACGCATATAGTCCATTAACAAGATTATGCTGGAAAAAAGTTTGACACACCTCTGAAACTGGAAATTGCAGCCTAGTCCACAGGCACGAGAGTCACGAAGAATGTAATCAAATCTGCCAAACAGATGATTTATCTATAAATTTCAATCTCCAAATATTAAAATTCATTCCAAAAGAAGTGAAAAGAGATAAGGGGTATACTTGTCAACATCTATTCCATTTCGACCATTTGCGACAATATCATATAAGAAACGCTTTTCTTTTGAACTCTACAAAGGAAGATGATTAACAACAGGCTAACAAGAAGACGATAGATGCATTGAAGAATTAAAGTTGGAGTAGAAGCATAGAACAGGTTTCAAAAGGTGAAATGAAATATTCTACAGTAATAATACCACAAAATCTTCGAACTGTCACAACTTACTTTTGATGGAGCATTTTCAGGGCTAGCAATTATCATTTCCTGTTGAAAAATCAAATCTATATCACAGCACAGCATAAAAAAGGGGAAAGTTTCATATAGTCTCCAATTGTCTAATGTTACTAATAAGCTTTACATCCGCGAACTATTCATGCAGAACTCAAAGGGCAAAATGATGCAAAGGGTGAGACATAATTGAAATCAATCAGTAGTCTCAGTAAATGGAAAGAGATATCTCATGATAAGCTTGATCACTGAAGGGAAAAGAAAGCATAGAAATGATGAGGATTTAACATAACAATGTAACCTTCACTGTCTTAAGAATATCAGGTTTAATATCAATGTTGTGCACATCAACTATGTGGTCTATCATCTTTAGAGACATTTCCTCGTGAGACCTGCAAAAGGTTTGGTCAAATTAATAGCCAAATCGTGCATTGAAATTATCCCTGAAAAGTAATTTAAAATTATAATTAGTCTTGCACCTTTTATGTAATACCATTTCAGTAAGGCTAAAACAAACAAATAATCATGTCATTGAAAGATTAACAAGACACTGTTTGTCAAACAAAACCAAGCAAAGCCTCAAAGTCCCTGTCAGTGCATGTCTATATTACAAATAAAAATAGACCTGCTTTATCGAAACTAGCTGTTATACTATTTCAAATGCAACAATGTACGAAAAAGGTAAAAACTGCATATATGGTATGGAATAGTGCATTCTTTGTACTCCACAAGTACAAATTAACTTACCAAGACAAAAGCGTATTAAAGTGCTATCTCATTTATGAATGCTCAAATCAATCAGGTTGTAGCAATTCCACAGACTCTATTGTTATATATTAAAATTAAGGGTTCCACTATGGATAAAGATGTTCAAGGATGTAAACAATTCTATTATTCAACAATCAGTATTCATATGATAATGAAGATATTCATTAATGAAGCATGTGAGAATCACCATTTGGAGCCATTGACAACCCGGGGAAGAAAATCGCGCTCAAACAAGTGGCTGAAAGGCCCATGGCCCACATCATGCAATAATCCTAGATGTAGAATCAACAAAAATATTATTAGATAGTGATAGATAGCTCCGGACAAAGTGTTTTTACAGCAACTACATTTAGTTACCAGCAAGTTTTACTGTCTGAATATCAAAAGGTTTAATGTCAAGCTCGAGGCCCTGCAAGATGGCATGTGTATGGACAGAATATTTTTAGTAACAGGATCCAGAATAAGAATGAGCAAAGTCAACTGGTCACCAGGACATTTTCCTACTTGGTAGTTTTTAATTCTATGAATAGCTTCACAAGCTAGCCAATAAACCCCAAGTGAATGCTCAAACCGAGAATGTACAGCCCCTGGATAAACCAAGTGTGTTACACCTGAAATATAAACAACTAGCACTACATTAGAAACAAGCTCGGACAACAAATAAACATGTATGAGACAGTAGATTTTTCTGGAGAATTTATTGTAGCTAATATCTTTCATTTTCTATATTTTAGTCAAATCCAATTGTGGAGCTAATAGTAAATTGTTAGATAAGATGATAAAATATGTTTTCTTATCGCCAAACACAACTGTGCGATAGAATTGAATAGAGAAGACAAAAGAGGGAAGAAATTCATAGAAGGTAGAAACAGGGCTTGCTTATAGTTCAACCTTGCAACTCTACAAATTTTAATGTGGACTTAAATATGCGCGATAAAGATGTATGGCCTTTAAAGTCAAATCTATTTATATACTGTCAAAAGTTGAAAAGTTGAAATGGAATAAACTATTTAGAGAACTTCTATTGTCACATATTCACACACATAAACATATATATATGGTGAAAAAGTTAAAGATGCCGCACATCTTTAAAAAACGAACGAGAAAAATCTACAAGTCATTAACTAATTTTCCTATTAATGAAGTTCAGAAAAAATGAAAAATCAAGTCATTAACTAATTTTCCTATTAATGAAGTTCAGAAAAAATGAAAAATCAAGCCTCACCGAGTTGCTTTAGATCGCGAAGTCTGCAATATGAATAAAAATTATCAGATTGTTAGTCATGGGGAAACTATAAAGCATAAAAGTGCAATGAGCACTACACAGCAAAGAGGGGGAAAAGGAAAGTCACGTGTCAAAATCAGACTTGCCTCTGAAACTGTTCAGTATCGATGAACTTCAAAGAGAGCTGCAATCCACAGAAACATAATAAAGTTTTTAAGAATTTACAGAGCACCAATGGCTTAAAGTCAGGTGAAGCTTCTAAATAAGAATAGGCACGGTAGATGCTGCCTAATTTCATCCACTGATACTGAGCTTATGTTGGAGAAAAAAAATAAATAATGAATAGATGTTAGAAAGCTATCTATCCGTATAAAAAAATTTGAGAAAATAATAAAATATTCCTTAAAATAATGACATAAATTTGCATAGAAAGGGAACAAGAAGAAAAGTTGTGCCAAAAAGACAAAAGCAACAATCTGACGGCCAAAATGAAGAATCATATACAAAACTTCAAAATGCATATAGAGCTCAGCCTTCAGAAAAAGCATTAAGGATCTCTAGTTTGAATCAACAATTCTTCATCATCCTTTTAGATTTTTCTTGTTATAGACAAACACATTTGAAACCTTCATTCGACTCTGAATCTATCAATTATTTTGAATGCCTGACGATGAGTTACGAAGGCAACAAAAAGGAAAAAAAAAAAAAAAAATCTCGATTCAAAAATAGTTCTTGTATACACATTCAGACACAGACACACATATGCATGTGTGCTCTGCTTGTCGAGAATATTTAATTCTGAACTACACCAGTTCAAATTAATCCAAACGAAGAATTTCTATCAACTAAAGCAAAATACGAAGTCTCAAGCATCAAATCAACAGCTAAAACACAGTAATTTGAAAGAAGAAAAAAAAAAAAGTTTCAAAAATGCAAAAACGTAATAATTTGGAATTGAAAGGCGTTACTTGATCGAGATAGATGTTTCCGTGGACGTTATCGTGAACAAGCTTCGAGGATCGCGGATCCTCCATTGATGCTGCGTAGCTGAACCTCGGCTGGTCTTCGTTGTAGCAAGCTCCCATTCTCGTCGTTCACACAAACGAGAGAGAGAGAGAGAGAGAGAGTGGTGTGTGTGTGGGGAGACGGAGAGGAGCGAATATATGTACAGGAATTTTGGAGGAGTGGTGGTGAAGTGGTGCCGCCAAAAAGGTTGTGTGTTAGGCTACGCGCTGACAACAGCGAGTGCAAACAAATGAATCGATGCGAAGAATAGTTAGAGAAATAATCAGCGTAATTGCAAAAAAATAATTACAAATGGTAAATTTTATTAATTAAAGTTCATAAAATTTTCAATCTATTTGTAATTTATTTTTAAAAAAAATACACTTAGGGTTCTTTTGAGAATTTGGCTATTTTAGTTGATTTTTTAACTATTTTAATCTCGCTAAAAAAATTATATTTAGGATGATAATTGATTTTTTTCTTTTTTGTAATTGATTTGATGATTATGAAAAAAAAAATCGAATTTGAAAAATAAATAAATAAATAAAATAATTATAATTTAAATGTGATATTTTATCTTTATTAACTATTTTAATAATAAAAAAAAAAAACTAACCAATCCAAGTTCCATTTTAATCTCGCTAAAAAAATTATATTTAGGATGATAATTGATTTTTTTCTTTTTTGTAATTGATTTGATGATTATGAAAAAAAAAATCGAATTTGAAAAATAAATAAATAAATAAAATAATTATAATTTAAATGTAATATTTTATCTTTATTAACTATTTTAATAATAAAAAAAAAAACTAACCAATCCAAGTTCCAAACACACCCCTTAATTATAATTTTTCCAAAATAGTTTGCGGAGTGTTGAAGACTCTCATGGTCGCGAGTGGAAAACTTGGAAGTGGAAGGACGGGGCGATTGGGGAAATGAATTTGCAAATCAGTTACCAACTCACATGTCAATAATGCTATAGATCCATTCATAAATCAGTTACAATATACAAATGGTCAATTGGCCTTAAATTTAGAAAATTATATTAAAAGATTTGTTATATAAATGATGATTTTATTGTTTTTGTAAGTAGAGGATAAAATAGTAATTTCATCTATAATTCCAATAGGATGAATTAAAAAATCTCACATTTTCATGAAAATAATTATCTCATTAGAGTGTAGAGATAGCTCAACGTTTAAGTTATTTACTTAGTTGCTTAACGCTCATCAATTTTGTTTTTTTAAATGATTCTTATTTTTTAAAATCTCAAATTTTAATAAGCACAATAATGATGGTTTTGAAAATTTGATTAAAAATTAACTTTTTGACTTTTTTTAAAAAAATATATAAAAAAATAAAGAGATAATATAATTCAAAATAAATTAAAAATCAAAAAGTGACTCTTCACAAAAGAGGCCAAAATAAAATCTCTTTTAAAATTTAGCCCGAGTGGTCAAAAATTCTTAAGACACTATTTTTAAAGCGTATTAATGATTGCCTAACATTTTCTTCAAACAAATAAATTTTGGCCCATTTTGGCAAAAAAAAAAAAAAAAATCACTTATTTTTTTGAATTTTTTTGTCTTTAATGATTTTTTTTTTTTGTAAACAAGTCAAATTTTTTTTTTCTAGTCCGTCTTAAAATAAGTAAACAAAGATTGCTTATTTTGACTTATTTTTATATTTTCTGATTTTTTTTGATTTTTTTTTAAAAAAAATATAATTTCCCAATTCATTTTGTTTAGCTGAATTTAAAAATCTAATTTTTTTTTTTAAAAAAATCACTAAAAACAGAAATAAAGCAAAAGAAAAAAAAACAAAAAAAAACACTACCCCCAAAACACGGTGAGGCGGACAAAAGCACTCCAATCCCATTCTCAAACCTTTCACATACAAACATAGCCACTATTAACCCAAAAAAAACTGTGTATTTACATTATGAAAGGAGAAATTCCAAAGTTAATTTTTAACCTATTTTATGTCATATTATTTTTCACATTTTTATATATTTTTTAAAAAAATCAAAAAAAAATTAATTTTTAACCACCTACTCAAAACATCTTATAATAAATGATGACCGAAGCTACATAGCCCACCCTATAATAGTAACTCATCATAAATTGGGTGACCCAAAATGTTTGATGTGAAAGGATGGGATTTGTAAAATTTTATATTTACAATGACTCTCTATTTTTTATACTGTAATTATGAATTAAGGGCTTGTTTGGGAATTGGTGGTTTGGGTTTTTTTTTAGTTAAAATAGTTATTAAAAAATAAAATAGACTTTTTATTCTAATAAGATAAAATATTATATTCAATGTATAATAATTACATTCTTTCTCTCACAGAAAAGTCAAAAGTTAAAAAAATCAAAAGCCCTTCTCAAACGAAGCTCAAGTTTTTGAAACAAAAAAATAACAAAAATGTTTAAAATCACTAATTAGTGGTGGCTCTAACACCCACTGCCACCACCAAGGATCCTCTAGAGTATTTTTTTCCTAAAGTTTCTTAAAGTGGTGTATTGTGTGGTTGAGATTTAATGCTGAAAAATTGATGTGACTTATCATTAAATCTCAACCACACAATGCACCACTCTAGGAAACTTTAAGAAAAAAAAACTCTAAAGGATCCTTGCTCCACTGCCACAGTGTTGTTACACCTTGTTTTTTTTATTTTTATTTTTTATTTTCTACCGAATTAGTGGTGGTTTAATAATACCAAATTAGTGGTACCAATCACTGCTGAAAAAATAAATAGAGCTCCTTTTGAGATTACATATTTTAATTAAAAGGTTAAAAAATTATTATAAATTGTCATTTTAGTATTTTTATTTTTTTTATATATTTTTATAAAAAAATATTAAAATAATTTATGCTCAAAAGAGTGCTTAATAACTCTTACATCCTTAAACTCATTACATTCGAAACTATATCAAAATTTGTATTTTCAACTACATACAAAAAATTCACTGTACATTTCCTTAAGGCCTCTAAGCATATTAAGCCCTCTTTTGGCATCTTAGCTGGGGTTATTAGGTTAAAATAGTTAGAAAAAGATAAAATAAATTAAAAAGTCAATAAAATAAAATGTCATATCTAAATTATAATTATTTCATTTTTTCTCTTAAAAAAATCAAAAAAATTAAAAAATTTAATCAAAACGAGACATTTTAACCCCAAATTAAAATAACTAAAAAATTAAAAAGTCAAAAAGTTAATTCACTTTCTAAACAAATTGTGTGTTATGGTGTATACTTTAGGAGTTGTTTGGGTGTCCTCAATAAGTGCACTTTTTGGACTAAAAAATTAAGGAAAAAAAAGATGGATGTTTGGGTTAACTTTTTGATTTTTTACGAAAAAATATGTATTAAAAAATTGTATTAATAAGCGTGTAGGAGAAGTTAGTGGAGTAGGCTGTACAGGTTGGGCAGTGTAGTGGGCTGGTTACGATATGGGAAATGATTGCTTCTTTTTCGGGCTTGAATTGGATTGTGTTGTTCTGTCCGTGGGGGCCCACCACAGGTCCTGTTTTGCTAATCGGAACCATTCAATGTGTAGAACCCGTCGATTACTATATGCTTGTTAAAAATCACGTTGATTGGATATCGATAACTACCTGAATATCGATAGCTATCTGATCGTGTTAGTTTTTTTTGCCAACTGTTAACTATAATACCATCAATTTTTTATACAAAACTGATTTGATCATTTAGTTAGCGATATCCGATCAATGTAATTTTTTATAGGCATTTAGTACTTGACAAATTTTACATATTGAACGGTTCGGATTATCAAAACGGGATCTGTGGTGGGCTCCCATGGGCCCAACATTTTCATCCAACAGTAAATATATATGTAATTTTTTTTTTATTCCTTTCTTTCACTTCAGTACCTAAGGTGGTGTGAAGTTGGTTTGTATTTTAATATTATGTATATTAAATTTTTTATATTTTTAATTTATGAATAGTGATGACTTTTTTTTTTTTTTTTTTCCCCTCGATCGATCGAAATTTTGCTGATAGCACCATTGGAATGCTAGATATCAAATAGAGAAATTTCTCAAAATTTTACTCAGATTTGATGAAATATTTGATTCACGCTTGGAGATGCTGTAAAAATCAAAGTGGAGAAGTAATTGAACATAAAAAAGACAAATTGTAACTTATTTAATTTAGATCTCGTTTGACATGTAACACTTTTAGTTTAAAAATTAAAAAATTATTAAAAAAATTAAAAAATTTATAACTTATATCAAAAAATTAAATATTCTTTTTTCTTTCTACTTTTTACGCATTTGTTTTATAAAAAATTTAAAAATCATTCTAAACATATTAATTTTTTTTTAATTTTTTAATCAAGAAATTAAAAAATTATTAAAATAATCTGTTTAAGGATTTGAATTTTTTTAAAAGAGTGAGATTTTTAAATGTCAGTACAACTTGATTGATCATATTTTTGTATTTTGATATAATTTGTCCATTGCAATTTCACAAACACAGCTCCATTACCAAAATTTTGGCACATTTTATGTTGGATTAAGGACCACAATCATTTATCAATCATAATACCGGGGTCAAGTCCAGTAGTATCTTACAAGGAAAATAATCTTTCTAGTCAGAAGTTTTGTAAGTGCTCTAAAGTTTCATATCAATTTTTTTTTTAATTTTAAATAATTAAAAAAATTTATATTGATTAGTTTTTATTTGATAATCTCATGGGTGAGCATGGTCCGGATTGGGATAAAACCAGGACCAATCCGTTATCTACGGTTCCTGAAAAATCGGAACCAATCCGATCCGTTTAAATCTTGGAACCAATCCGAACCAATCCATTTCAACACGGATTGGATCGGTTTAGGACCACGGATTCACATAATTAAATAACAAAAATATATATATATATATATATATATAATACTTTAATTTTATAAAAATATAAACATAGCGCTATATTAGTTCTACAATAGCAACATGTTTTTTTATAATAGCGACATAATGTTCTAGAATTTAAACAATCATAAAAAAACTAGTTTCATCATAAGTATTTAGATCATTACAAATTAAAACTAAAAACTAAAAAACAAAAGTAATAAAAGAAGATATTATACGAGGTTTAGGTTTGAGTTTAGATTTTATATAGAAT